TCTAAGGTGAAAGGTTGAAAGCTTTTCCTCTAAACTCAGGAACAAGAAAAGGTGTCCACTCTCACCACTCCTATTCAACATAGTATTAGGAGTCCTAGCCAGAGCAATCAGGTAAGAAAATGAAATAAAAAGCATCCAAGTTGGAAAGGAATAAGTAAAACTGTACCTATTTGCAGATGACATTATTTTATACTTAGGAAATCCTAGAGTCCACCAAAAAATTGTTAGAACTAATCCACAAATTCGGTGAAGTTGCAGGATACAAAATTAACAAGAATCAGTAGTATTTCTATATACCAACAATAAATTATCTGATAAAGAAAATGCTCCCTTATACTGTACAACAGCATCAAAAAAACAACTTGGGAATATATTTAAGCAAGGAGGGGAAAGATCTCTACACTGAAAACTACAAAACACTTATGAACGAAATAAAAGAAAACACACACACACAAATGGAAAGGCATTCTGTGTTCATGGATTTGAAGAATGAATACTCTTAAAATGTCCATACTACCTAGAGTCACCTATAGACTCAATGCAATCCTATCCAGTGTTTTTTCAGAAGTAGAAAAAACAATCCTATAATTTATATGGAACTACAAAAGACCCCAAATAGCCAAAGCAATCCTAAGAAGAACAAAGCAAGAGGCATTACATTTTCTGACTTCAAGCTATCTTATAAAGCTATCGTCAAAATAGCATGATACTGAGAGAAGAACAGGTGTACAGACCAATGAAACAGAATCAAGAGCCCAGAAATAAACTCATACATACATAGCCAATTAATATTTGACAAGGGAGCCAAGAATATTCAACAGAGAAGAGATAGTCTTTTCAATAAATGGTGCTGGGAAACTTGGATATTCACATGCAACAGAAAAAAACTAGACCCCTTTCTTACGCCAGTCACAAAACTTAATCCAAAATAGATTAAAGACTTAAAAATCAAACCTGAATCACAACACTCTTAGAAGAAAACAGGGAAAAAGCTCCTTGACATTGGTCTTGGTAATGATATTTTAGATATGATATCTAAAACACAAGCAGCAAAATAAAAAATAAATAAGTGGGAATATATCACACTGAAAAGCTTCTGCACAGCAAAATAAACAATCAACCTAATGAAAAGATAACCTATGAAATGGGAAAGAAATTTTTGCAAACCTTATATCTGACAAGGGGTTACCATCCAAAATGTAAAAAGAACTTATATATCTCAATAGCACAGCTCCCCAAACAAATTTTAAAAATGGGATCTGGATAGACATGTTTCCAAAGCTATACAACTGGCCAACAGGCACATGAAAAGGTACTCTCCATCACTAATCACTATGGAAATGCAAATCAAAATCACAATGAGATATCACCTCACATCTGTTAGAATGGGTATTGTCGAAAAGACAAAAAAAATAACAAGTGTAGGTGAGGATGTGGAGAAAAATGAATCCTTTGCACTATTAGTGGGGATGTAAATTAGTGCAGTCACTACAGTAAACATATGGAGGTTCCTCAAAAAATTGAAAATTGAACTACCAAATGATGCAGCATTTCCACTTCTGGGTAAATATCTGAAAGGAAAACACTTATCCAAGAGATAGCTGCATTCCCACGTTCACAGCAGCCTTACTGACAATAGCCCAGACATGTTAACGCCCCAGGTGTCTGTCAGTGGGTAAAAATGCATAAAGAAATTTTGGAACATATATACAATAGAATATTTACAGCCATAAAGATGGAGGAAATCCTGCCACTTGCTACAACATCGACGTGCATTATCTTGCAACATGGATGGGCAATATGTTAAATGAAGTAAGTCAGAGAAAGACAAGTACTATATAGTCTAATCTTAAAAAAATAAAAACAAAAAAAACTCAACCTGGCCGGTGTGCTCAATGGCGCACTGAAGGGTCTCCAGTTTGATTCCCTGTCAAAGGCACCTACCTGGGTTGCAGTTTGCTCCCCAACAGGGGAGCATGCGAGAGGCAACCAGTCGATGTGTCTCTCTCACATTAATGTTTCTCTCTTTCTCTACCTCTCTCTCTCTCTCTCTCTCTCTCTCTCTCTCTCTCTCTCTCTCTCTCTCTCTCTCTCTCTCTCTCTCTCTCTCTCTCTCTCTCTCTCTCTCTCTCTCTCTCTCTCTTTCTCTCTCTCTCTCTCCCTCCTTCCTCCCTCCCTCCCTCCCTCCCCTTTGCCTCTGCCTCTCTCCCTCCCTTCCACTCTCTCTGATAAAACAAAGGGAAAATATATCCTCAGGTGAGGATTAAAAACACAAAAATAGATCAGATTTGTGGTTCCCAGAGGCAGGGGTGAGGAGAGGAGTATGGTGGAATTGAAGGAAGGTCATCAAAAGGTACAAACTTCCTGCTATAAGATACATAAGTACTAAGGATGTAATGTACAACATGATCACACTAATAAACATACTGGATTGTATATTCAAAAGTTGCTAAGATAGCAAGTCCTAAAACTTCTCATTACAAGGAAAAAAGTTTTTCTTTTTTTTCCACACCTATATGAGATGATGAATGTTAACTAAACTTATTGTGGTAATTATTTCACAATATGTGTGAATCAAGCCATGCTGTACACAGATTTATCCAGTGTTGTATGTCAATTATATCTCATTGAAACTTGAAAACAAACAATATAAATGATCTTAACACTCTGGGGGTCAGCAATCTGATATGTTCTTATTGCTGGTGAAGGAGCGGAGGGGAGAGCAAGGGAACTCTCCACTCTTTCGGCTCCGCGGGCCGAATAGAACAGCCAAATGGGCCGTAGTTTGCCCACGGCTGTTCTAGAGGCTGCCTGGATTCCTTGGCTCATGGCCCCTTCTTACATCTTTAAAGTCATCAGTGCGGCATCTTCAAATCTTAATCTGACTCTGTTTCTGTAGTCACTTCTCCTCCTCTGACTCTGACCATCTGCCTCCTCTTATAAGGCCCCTTGTGTGTGCTTTCCTATATAATAAAAGGGTAATGTGCAAATTGACCCTAACAGTGGAACGACCGGTCACTATGACGTGCACTGACCACCAGGGGGCAGATGATGCTCAACGCAGAAACTGCCCCCTGGTGGTCAGTGCGCTCCCACAGGGGGAGCTCAGCTCAGGCACAAGCTGGGCTGATGGCTGCGAGTACAGCGGCGGTTCCTGCCTCCTCGGCAGTGCTAAGGATGTCTGATTGCCAGCTTAGTCCGATCCCCCAGGGAGCAGGCCTAAGCCAGCAGGTGGACATTCCCTGAGGGGTCCTGGACTGTGAGAGGGAGCAGGCTGGGCTGAGGGAACTCCTCCACCCCCGAGTGCACGAATTTTCGTGCACCGGGCCTCTAGTTTTTAAATATTTAAAAATATTTTTATTAATTTCAGAGAGGAAGGGACAGAAATAGAAACATCAATGATGAGAGAGAATCACTGATCAGCTGCCTCCTGCATGCCCCCAACTAGGGATTGAACCCATAACCCAGGCATGTGCCCTGACCAGGAATCAAACTATAACCTCCTGGTTCATAGGTTGATGCTCAACCACTGAGCCATGTTGGCCGGGCAAGGCTCCTTGTGTTTGTATTGGAACCACCCAGGTAATCTCCCCATCTCAAGATCTCTCTACTAAATCACATCAGCAATGTCATTATACATATCAATATGTAATATACCATGTTCACAGGTCTTAGGAATTAGAATGTGGACATCTATTACTTACACAGTGATTTGTGTCTCAAAGAGCTCCCAATGAAGTTTGAACTTTTTGCAATTACTCAGTTACTATCCCTTGGTAACTAAAATTTGAAATGTGTTGTAGGGGCCCTAGTGTTATTTAAATAAACCATGATTACTGGAATTTGTGTATAACTGAATGACACAAAGCAAGGGCTACTTGTTTTAAGTCCAGCTAGTAGGTCAAAAGGATGAGAAGATGCATGTGATTGCCCTAGCTGGTTTGGCTCAATGGATAGAGTGTTGGCCCATGGACTGAAAGGTCCTAGGTTCAATTCCAGTCACATACTTCTGTTGCAGGCTTGATCCTTAGCCCAGGTCAGGGTGCATGCAGGAGGCAAACAATTGACATATCTCTCTCACATCGATGTTTCTCTCTCTGTGTCTCTCCCCTTCCCTTCCATTCTCTCTAAAAAAAAAAAATAAATGAAAAAATATTCTCAGGTAAGTGAGGATTAACCAAAAAATAAAGAAGGTGCATGTGACTACACATGCAGGACCACGCAGGACCCTGGCTGTAGAACATGAGGTGGAAGTGACCTATATGTCTGCACTCATATTTGAAGAACACTCATAAGTAAATAGATTGACCTTTCTCTTGGGCTGGATCTCAAGGTCACCAGAATACTGACAGCATGATAGCTTGTCTCTCTGAAAAACATGGTACAGGTGAATATGGAAACCTTAAGAAATAATGACAGAACTTCCCTCTTCCCTCTTCCATCTTCTGCCTGATCCCCCTCCTCCAAAAAATACATGTCTGAGGCTCTTGTGCACTAATATCCAATTACTGACAGTGTATCACACTTTGTTTATAAAGCAACTGTATTTTTTAAAAATTCTGATTAATAAACATAAAAGAGCTCTTTTGAGTCAAACCGGTTTGGCTCAGTGGATAGAGAGTCGGCCTGCGGACTGAAAGGTCCTGTGTTCGGTTCCAGTCAAGGGCATATACTTTAGTTGCGGGCACATCCCCAGTAGGAGGTGTGCAGGAGCCAGCTGGTCGATGTTTCTCTCTCATCGATGTTTCTGGCTCTCTATCCCTCTCCCTTCCTCTGTAAAAAATCAATAAAATATATTAAAAAAAAGAGCTCTTTTGATAACTGATTGAGGACATAATTAACATTTCCTATGTTTATAGAGTTGAGTAAACTACAGAATAAGTAATAAATATGTAAATATGTAAACTACAGAATAATAAGTAAATATGGGACACTGGTTTCTGATACTCTTAGACCAAACACAATTTAAAACTGAATTACTGTTAGGAAGTTTCTCATAAATACATTTTATTTTAACATAAAATGGTCAGTTATACATCTCTGACTGGGATTATTAAAGTACAATCTTACAGGGTGGGGATTCTAACAATGCCACAAACACAGACACACACTAAGAGCTGACAAGAGGGTTTTTCCTGCTCTGGCCGTATTATATTAACCTGCAATACAGATATCTGCTCTTACAGGACAGGAGATCACTTCAAGAGGTAGAGCTTATTTTATACCTAAGTGCTGCAAACACATTCCCTGCATGAACTGAGAAGAAAGGAAGAAAAAATAGCATTTTATGAAAATCCAATTCCTTGACTGCATCAATATCAAGTCTTACCACTTTATAAAATTCGTTATTATTTAAAAACACTACTTGAGTAGTCTTAAATTGATATTGGAGAAAGGTCACACAGAAGGCCTAACCCTGGTGGCATATGTGAAATCAGATCCTGATGTGCCTGTGGCTCCTGTTGGGAGTCTGTATCACAACTGTCTGAGTCCTGGAAGGGCTGGAAATACCCCTGAGGCAGCGGCTCCATCTTTCTCATGCTCCATCCAGACAGGTGAGGACTCAAAGTGCTAAGTGCATATTTCGAGCTTATGTGCCGAACCTGTTTAGTGCCACAGTAAATGATAAGAGGCAATTTCACAGATACTCTTTGAGAGTGAATAGAGTCATTGAACTACAGAGAATAAACTCTCATACACATTTTGAAACTCCCATATAAAATGACTATCCTGAGTCCATCAGGACTTGAGGTTTTCTGTTTTCATGAAGTAGGTGAAAGGGTAATCTGTTCTCTCCAGGTACTGGTACCTGCACGGACTTCCCTCTCAGGAGGCCTTAACCAGCTGTATGTTCACATATCAAAGTCCTTCAGCTCTCCCCAGCTGGCACCTATTTTCACTTTCACTTTCAGTTTCACAGAAAGTTTTAAGGCATTTTCCATTTCATTCTTGACAATCTGAGCAACCTAGGGGTGGGGGGATAAAAAAGAGGTTAACAAACTCTCTGCCTAATCAAAGAATGTTTCCCAGCCTACCCACCGAGATAACAGGCCAGATGGGAGCTCTTCACCTGGAGCTTGGAAGTGACTTCTAAAGAGCCAGGCATCCCAAGTCTGCACTGACCAGCAGGAGCTCTGCCAGTTTCAGCTAGAATGCTTGGAGCTTTGAAACCCTCAGGACAAGACTCCAGATTCTCATCCCACTTCTCCCAGACAAAAACATCCCTACACCAGGAATTTCTTTAACAATAGTATGACACTGTGCACTCTTAGTTCTTTCTAAACCCTTAAGGACCCAACATTGATGTAGCCATCGTATGGCTGGGGAAGAGTTCCAGAAACCTCAGGCATCTTAGCCTGACCCATACAGCGTCTGAACATTCAATAGAATGGAAAATGGAAAACACTGTAAAAATACCTGAAACACATCCTCTTCTGCCACTTCATACAAGAGTTCATCATGGAGTTGAAGGATGAAGAAGCCTCCTCTGATTGGGCGGAACATCCCTTGCAGTTTTCTCTTTGGCAACAATCCTACCCCATGGAAAAAAGTAGCAAACTGATAAGTATGTCATTTTGCCATTGGATAATTTTTTTATTTATATTTTTAGAGATCTTGAGAAACTTTGGAAAATTTTAATTACCAGATTAAAACACATAAGATTTAGAACTATCAGGGAACTAATTACTTGCTGGCTACTACCCAGCCCAACTATCAGGTAAACTAAATCCCATCACCTTCTTCCCAGAAAGGAGGAGTCTAACAAAGAAGCCAGTAAATGAAGTTTGAAGAAATCTGTTCAAAACTCTGGTTTAATTTATTTCTCAGATACCTCTTCTCCTTCCATGGAGTCCCCACTACAGCTTCTCTGAGTAAAAACACCAGAGCAGTATGGGCCCTGATTCCTGCTCCAGCAAAGTGATCTGGTGTTGTCATTAGGCAGTGTTTTCTAAGAAGGACACCTGCTGCTATTTTTTTGTGGCCAGAAGTATCACTATTGTAGAACTGGTGCCTCCCCAATTGGACCCCATACTCTAGACAAGTAATTCTAAACTTCAGGTCCAAATGTGGACTTCAGAGTATGTGTGAACTCCTTGGCATTGGATGTAAGAGTCTATGTCTACATTTTTCTGGGGAGATGATCTATAAAACCCATGACTCCAAAAATGGTTATAAATCACTTCTACTAGACTTAGCTACTATTTCCTAACCAGCTGGGCCTGGTGCTATAGATTATGCCTCTCTGATCACTAAAATAAGGTTCAAAATTAATACCTTTAAAGCAACTGCCTTTGTTTGCCCTTATGTTTGCAGTCCTTCCTTTCTGCCATACAATTTCCTACTTACCCTTCAGGACAGCACAAGTAGCTCACCATCTCCTTCAATACCCAGTGCTTCCCTCAGAGTTCATTAGTTGTCACTATCTGCAGCCCATGTTTCCCCAGAGGTGGCTCTCAAAGGTAAGAGAACAAATGCAGATGAGGCCATGGCAGGCTGCCTCACACCAGGCTGCAGAGGCTGTGCATCTGTTTTCCAGTTTGGCTGACATCTGATGCGCCCCACTGGGCCCCACTTATCTCACAGCATTAGCTGTCCAGATGCTCTAGCTTTTCTGCTTTCTCATCACCATACCTTTGTCCTCTTCATTTCCCTTGGGTACTTGGCTTCTGACCCAGAATGCATGATCCTCCTGTTCCCTGTGTGGTCTGTTTCCTCAGGTTCGGCTTCCTTTGATCCCCCTGACCTGCTACTACTTTTCACCCAGCACGATACCATGAAGCCATCCTCAGTTACATATCTACTTTGCCTCCCACTCATTCTAAAGGCTGTTAATGTCTACATCAGGGGTCCTCAAACTTTTTAAACAGGGGGCCAGTTCACTGTCCCTCAGACCGTTGAAGGGCCGGACTATAGTTTAAAAAAAAACTATGAACAAATTCCTATGCACACTGCACATATCTTATTTTGAAGTAAACAAACAAAACGAGAACAAATACAATATTTGTATGTGCATGTGGCCCGTGGGCCGTAGTTTGAGGACCCCTGGTCTACATCCTCACTTTGACACTGCATCACTCTGCTGTGGAGAGTTGTGCAAATATTTCCGTCAGGGCTCTATCTTCCCATCCTTTCCATAAAGTTTAACATAAGTTGATAACTTTGACTTCTAAACCCTTCAAAGCATATACTACAGTGTTATTACTCAAATACTTCTCTCTTTCTCTCTCTCTCTCTCTCTCTCTCTGTATATATGTATGTATGTTTGCCAACATACATACTCCCACACATAAAATGTTGAATGATCAGCCTTACATATTCTGGGGGGCATTGAAGACAAACTAAAAAATCCTAATTTGATGGGCAAATAGGTTTTTTTAAATCTATGTATTTTTATATATAAGTGAACATATTTTTATATAACTGGCTGTATTATTCTCTATAATATATATCTCTTCTAAAAATAGCAAATTCCATCATCAAGAGCTGATCTATACCTTTTCTACCCTATCTCAAGCAGTTTATTCTTACCCTTTATGCCTGAAACCTTCTTAACTTCTTTCCAGGAAAATTTAAACATGACTGCAGTCATAGTTTGATAATCTCAGTGACTGTGAAATGGTATTTAAAGCAGAAGGATGGACATGAGACAAAGAGAGAAGGGAAAGTTCTATGTACTTGTTAAAACAAGAAATAATCTATCTAAGCAATAAGGAGAGAACTTAGAGAAAATATTTTGAGAACAACAGTAAGAAAAGATGACAATATTGGCAAAGAAATATATGTGATAAAGAGGTGAGCTTAGTGTATATTCCCAGACTTTAGAGAACAAGGAAGGTCATGAACAGGTAAAATCAACATGCTCTTCTGTTGTGCTCTGAGGACCACAGTGAGTCACCGAGACCCTTTCAAAGCATCTGCAAAGTCAAAGTATTTTCTTAACAACATGCAGAAGTTATTTTCCTTTATTTTTTTTTTCAGTGCTTACCACTTAATATGGAAATGACTAAATATATATTTTTAGGAGGAGAAACCAAGATGGCGGCATAGGTAAAAACCGGAAATTGCTGCCTGGCACAACCACTTCAAAAATACAACTAAAAGACAAAATGGACATCATCCAGAACCACAGGAAGGCTGGCTGAGTGGAAATTCTACAACTAGAAGGAAAGAGAAAAGCACACTGAGACTCAGAGGAGGTGTGGAAGGAAAGAGCAGAGGTACGGAGGCACACGTGGAAGGGGCTGACAACTGAGGACACGGTTGTCTTTTTCAATCTGGAGGGAGTCTCAAGCTCTCAGCTGCTCTAAACTCCAGTTCCAGGCGAGTCTATGGGGACCCAGACTCATTCGGGGAGAAACTGGACTGCCTGGCATTGGTCGGAACTCGAGGCCGGTTTTCTCTCAGAAGTGCTTGCAGCGATTACTGGGACACTGAGATGCGGCACCTCTTAGTGTCGGACTGAGGATCTGCCATAGCTGTTTGCACCACCCTGTTGATTCCCTGAGAACCCGCCCCACCCAAGCTGTGTGCAGAGGCTTTAGCATATGAAAGGCCTGGCCCTTTGCAATCTGAAAATTACCTAACAAACTGCAGCTGGGTAAGAGAGACCCAGAACTTCCAAAAGAAGGCCCAAAGCCCCACAGCAGCTTGCATTGCTTCACAGCTGGGTCTCATCTGGGCACCTCCAAATCCCAAACCAAGAAGAGGAATCTGCAGATCTCTCCATAACTCCTTCTGGGTAGCCTCAGGCAGAGACTAAATTAGCACCTCCTTAGAGATCCAAAAGCCAGTGTATCCAGTGGTCAGAGTGGGACCATCCAGATTACAACTCCTCAGATCCATAAGGGACACACTCAGGGAGCAGACTTAGTGAGCACCAAAGCCCCACTGAAGCAAGTCTTGCCCCATAAGGGTGCCTCCAGCACAGAAGTCCTCTCACTGCAGACACAGCTGATTCTCATAGCCAATTGGCCTGGAGGTCAATTCCTCCCAGTGATACCTACAACAATCAAGGGTTAACTACAACAAGACTGTGCACAAAGCCCACAAAGGGGTGCACCAAGAGTGTCCACCTCAAGTAATTGGGGAGGCTGAGCCACTGGGCCCTATAGGACACCTAGCACAGAAAGCCACTCTATCAACACAGGGAAGCAGCCAACATGCGAAGACAAAGAAACAGGTCACAAATGACAGAAATGGAGGAAAGCAAACTACTGGATATAGGGTTCAAAACCAAACTTATAAGGTGTTCCAAGAATTTTCTAGAAACCACCAATAAATTTAGTGAGACCCTCGATAAATCTAGTGAGACCCTCGAGGATATGAACAAGAACCAACTAGAAATTAAGCATATACTGATTGAAATAAAGAATATTATACAGAGATCCAACAGCAGACTAGAGGATCCCAAGAATCAAGTCAAAGATTTGAAATACGAAGAAGCAAAAAATCACCCAACCGGAAAAAAAAGAAAAAGAAAAAAGAATCCAAAAATATGAAGATAGTGTAAGGAGCCTCTGGGACAACTTCAAGCATACCAACATCAGAATTATAGGGATACCAGAAGAAGAGAGAGGGCAAGATATTGAAAACCTATTTGAAGAAATAATGACAGAAAACTTCCCCTACCTGGTGAAAGAGATAGACTTACAAGTCCAGGAAGCGCAGAGAACCCCAAACAAAAGGAATCCAAAGAGGACCACACCAAGACACGTCATAATTAAAATGCCAAAGAAAAGACAAAGAGAGAATCTTAAAAGCAGCAAGAGAAAGACAGTCAGTTACCTACAAGGGAGTACCCATACGACTGTCAGCTGATTTCTCAACAGAAACTTTGTAGGCCAGAAGGGAGTGGCAAGAAATATTCCAAGTGATGAATAGCAAGAACCTACAACCAAGATTACTTTACCCAGCAAAGCTATCATTCAGAATTGAAGGTCAGATAAAGAGCTTCACAGATAAGGAAGAGCTAAAGGAGTTCATCACCACCAAACCAGCATTATATGAAATGCTGAAAGGTATCCTTTAAGAAGAGGAAGAAGAAGAAAAAGGTAAAGATATAAATTATGAACAACAAATACATATCTATCAACAAGTGAATCTAAAAATCAAGTGAATAAATAATTTGATGAACAGAATGAACTGGTGAATATAATAGAGTCAGGGGCATAGAAAGGGAGTGGACTGAATATTCTCGGGGTGGGGGACAGTGTGTGGGGGTGCGGGAAGAGACTGGACAAAAATCGTGCACCTATGGATGAGGACAGTGGTGGCGGGGGTAAGGGCAGAGGGTGGGGTGGGAACCAGGTGGAGGGGAGCTATGGTGGGGGGAAAAAGAGGAACATCTGTAATAATCTGAATAAAGATTTAATTAAAAAAATAAAATAAAAAGAAATTGAAAATATTTACAACTAAAAAAATAAAAATAAATAAATAAATAAATAAATATACATTTTTATCCAAAGTCTTAGTAGTTTGGTTTTACACCAAGTAAATTCACCAACAGGAAACTTGAATGTAGTTCACTACCTTGATCTCTTTTTTTTCCCCCTCATAATGTTTTTTTATTATGCATTGAGCATTAAGTAGTACTAGATTATGAAATAATCAACATATACAATATCATATATAGCATTATCTTCTAAAGAAACTTGAAAATGCAATTTAGTAGATATAACCCACATAAACAAAAGGTCTTTGGATTCTTAATAATTCTAAGAGTGTAAAGACAAAATGAGACCAAAATGTTGGAGAACTGCTGAGAAATCTACACTAATAAAAGAGAAAAATGGTAACTGGCGTACGACGCTACCCTTTTCCTTGCCTAATCAGGGCTATATGCAAATTAGCTGCCAACGGCATCAGGCCTGGGTGGGGTCGGAGCCGGGGATTGGGTATGATGGTCCCCTTGCCCAGGCCTGAAGCCTGGGTCAGAGGCGTCAGGCTTGGGCGGGGTGTGGAGCAAGCGATCAGAGGGAGATGGGGTCCCCTGACCAGGCATGATTCCTGGGCCAGAGGCCTCAGGCCTGGGCGGGGGTCAGAGCCAGTGATCGCGGGGAGATGGGGGTCCCTGTCCAAGCCTGACACCTCTGGCGGAGGTGTGAGGCCTGGGCAAGGGGCCGATCCTACAATTGGAGAGTGATGGGGGTCAACGCCTGAGGGCTCCCAGTATGTGAGAGGGGGCAGGCTGGGCTGAGGGACACTCCCCCCGCACACACACACACCCAGTGCACGAATTTCGTGCACCAGGCCCCTAGTAATATATAAAATACATCTCCTTTTCATTCCTGATGCAATAAATCTCACCATGCTATAGCAGGGCCTCACTTATGAACAAACCTGTTCTGTCACCTTGGAGCATAACCTCCCGATGACCATGGGATTTGAAGATTGACTGGAAGGTCTCTAATTGCTTCTGAATGTTGACTGTGGCTATTTTCACAATATCGGCCGCTGAACCTTGGACTGTTGTGTTGATAGCCTGACGCTCAGCCTATAAAAAAACAATAACAGGCTCTCGTCAGACGCACAACATGGTTTCATACCTGCTTTTAGCACCCTGATCAGTGCTTACATCTGCAACCAGACTGGAAATCTGGGCCAAGAAATCACCAATTAAGCAGCATCTAAGAACAATAACTGGAATGATCAGGGCTCCAGACTTTGGGCTGTCATCCTCATGATAAACAGAAGGTCAGACTGCTTCTGTTTAGAAATATTCAACAGTCAGGAACCAAAAACTGTACCATACTTAGAATATACTTAGTAGCTCACACTTATTTTATTTTATAAATATATATCATCAATGTTACAATGTTACAGCTGTTCTAAATTTCCCTCTAAAGAACCTATATTTCAAAATAACTCATATTAATCCTAGACATAAGTAGAATGTCATTTTTTGTGATGTGAGTTGGAATGTTCCAAGTATATCCCCCATATCTGGGGCCTCATGGTTGTATGTAGTTTGCTCCTGGCAGGTCTGCAGCCCTTGGGTATGAAACAGAGCTTTTTGTGGGCTGCTAGGATAATCCTTAGGTGTTAGTGCAACTGCAGATCTTAGCTCCCTAGGTGTTAAGTTAGAACGCCCTTAAATGATTGCTGCCATGAGCTTCTTGGCAGGCAGCCATAGCTGCTAAAAGTGATCATCCTGGGGCAGGAGGGATGAGGTCTGGGTTAATATCCAAAGTATAACCTATCCATGAATATAGTTCCTGTGTCCCAAAAGTTCTCAGTAAATGGAAAGAGTCTCCTCGCAGGAGGGAAGGAGGGATCTATGTAACTTGAGAGGTGTTCTCCAGTTCCCTGTCTCCTGGGTACACTTAACTCCTAGCGCATTAAATACCTGCTAAAGAGACAGACTTTTAAAAAAAATTAACTTTCCTTTTGCCAAATGTTGATGAATCCACTGTAAACTCAATCGGTTGTCACTGTTTAAAGAGTGACTGAATTTCAGCATCCTACTGACCCCTTCCCAGGTTGAAACTTCAGGTGGTGTGCTCTGTTATTGTTACTACTTGCTGCTTTTCTTTGTGAAGTTACACAGACCTGCCCATTGCCATGTAATTTAAAGTGTTTTTCACGCTAAAAGGATGGCCTTGACTTGTTTTGGCCAATGAACTGTGAGTAATACTGACGTGTAGCGCAAGTAAGAAGGTTTGAAAACTATCCAGCATTGTCACTGAAAGGCCTGTCCCAGAGAGGGAGTCTTCCTTTATTCTGGATTCCAGAGTGAAGAACATATGGAGCAGAACCACAGCCAACCCAGAGCCAAACTATAATGTGAATTTAAAATAAAACTGCTTATTATGTAAGCCACTGAAATTTTGGGGTTGTATTCACTGACATATGCAAGGAAAACTATGACTAAAATATATACTTCACTCTCATGGTATTGTACTTCCTTGATTCTCTTCCAAAATAAGAAAAGTTAAAAAAAATAAAAGAAAAGAAAAGTTAGCAATCTTAGCTTTGTGTCTCACAATCCAAGTCCTTTTATGACCAGGGCTTTTCATAGGCATAAAAAAATACAGGTTTCTGATCATGGGAGATCAAGTCATTAGAACCAACCATCTGACTGATAACAACTGGAAAAGCGGAAATGACTTCTTTTTTTTTTTTTTTGCAGATAATTGTGCAGATAGAATATCTAAAAGTATCTATAGATAAGTTATTAGAATATGTAATATTTGCAAGGTTTCTAGACAAAGAAACAACAATAAAAACAATTATATTTCTTTGTGTGAGCAGCCACACGTTAGAAAATGTAAAAAAGGAAGGAAAAGAATAATAAAATAAAGATGCCATTTGCAACAGCATTAAGACTTTTCAAATACCTAGCTGTAAATCTAATAAGAAACATATACAATCTCTTCCCCAAAACTACACAATGTGATTGAGAGAATTTAACAAGACTTAAAGACCTAAATAAATGAACAAATAGATCATGTTCATGGGTTGAAAACTCAAATTTATAAATATGCCCATGTCCATATTAATCCCATCTTCATTTATGAATCAAGACAGTCGCAAAAAACAACAACAACAACAAAAAAAACAACTCAACAGGATTCTGTGTTTATGTGGAAATTTACAAGCTGCTTCTACAATTTATATGGAAATGCAAAGAATCAAGAATAGGCAAATATTTGAGGAAGAAAAGAACAAGGTAAGAAAACTTTGCCATATATCAAGACACCTTACAAAGCAGCATATCTAAGGCAGTGTGGCACTGTCCTAAAGGATGAGCAAATACAACAGACGAAAGTAATGTGTACAGAAACAGAAACATCCATAGTATTTGATTTGTGGCAGAAGTGGCACCACAGAGCAGTGAGGGAAAGCTGTCTTTTCAATAATTTGAATTGAAAAGACACTGGGGGGTATGGGAGGCTAGGGAGAATTGTATATCAATGGGGGAGGTAGGGGACCCTGACCCTCAATCTCTAATAACATGAAAATCAATTGCTGGTTGATTATAGATATAAATGTAAAAGGCAAAACAAAAATTTCTAGAGAATATTTTCTTGATGTTGGGATTAAGAAAGCTTTTTTCAACAGATTAAGGAAATCACTACAATAATATAAAAGACTGATAAAATAGAAAGATCTGAACTAAAATAGAAGCTTAAATGCTCAGATATATAGAATGCTTTTATGAATCCTAATGACTTCAGGAAGAGATTTTATTCATAATTTGAACAAATATCATCAATAAATCTTTGTACTGATGTTAATCTCAGAAGGCATTGGCAACCTGGTGTGATATGACAAATTAGCATATGGTATGTAAAACAAAGAACAATAGTAAATGTAAGAATTAAGTTTATTTATAACTTATTACCAAAGCTAATAAATAACTAGCTTACTGAAAACATCTTTAAATGAAGTATTATAAACATGAGCTGACATTTACAGTAGCCTCCCAAAGACTGGCAGGTGCCATCACTTCAGAAATCCTTCATGGAACACAAGACCCAATTAATATATTAGTGATCCTTCTAAGGGACATTAGCAGCAGTTGCCTTTGTTGAAAAGTATATGTCAATCAGAGGGAAGGTGAGGGTGGGTAGGTGGGGAGAGATTAACCAAAGAATTTATATCCATATATGCACAACCCATATAGTGCGGTGAAGAGACAATAGTGTGGTGAAGGCCTGGGGGTGGGGGGTATGGAGCGGGTCATTAAGGGATAGAAGGGGGACATCGGTAATACTTCCAACGATAAAGATAAATTAAAAACAAAAGTATATGTCACTGAAATTTTAAGTAAAAAATCCAGAGAATTTCAACATACGTGAGCTTTATGATAAGGGTTGTTGTCTTTGATTCCTGGTAAATATCTACGCCTTCCCAAAATGGTCTGAACAAACCCATCTCTTTTACAATTCTTCACTGTCTCTTTCATGAAATGATTAATCCCTACAAAGAAAAAAAAAGAAATGAGTACAACTAAAGTCATTCTTAATTTCATTCAATAGTATAAGCCAGTCAATGAAGGAAAAATACCACATGATCTCACTCATCTATGGATAATTAAGACCATTATACACTGATAAGCAAAAATAGATACAGAGGCAGAGCAACATCGAACAGACTGTCAAACTACAGAGGGAAGGCTGGGGAGGGTTGGGGGCGGGAGAGTAAGAGATCAACAGAAGGACTTATATGCATGCATATAAGCATAACCAATGGACACAAGACACTGGGGGGTATGGGAGGCTAGGGGAAGGTCAAGGGAAGAAAAAAAGAGAAATATATAATACTCTTTGTAATACTTTAAACAATAAAACAATTAAAAAATAGTTGCAATATAAAGAAATATACCAAAAGTATAGAGACTATGCTTATCTAACTTTATTCATATATGCAATCTCTGCTTTCTCATAGCTCTGCTCATCCTGAGTAATAAATACTATTGTCTCCCAAACTGAAATTCCTCACTTGAGGATTTCTGTTGTGTGGCTGACACAGGAGAAACATTTGAGGAAAGTGAGTGATAGGAAGAAGAGAAAACCCTGCCCTGCCAAGTATGGCTGGTGGTGATATGTGACCACTAGCATGAAAGTTCAGAAAGCAATCAGGCTCTTAGCCTTTTCTCCTTAGGAATTACTGTGATTTTGTTGAGTGAAGAGCAAATAAAAGGATGAGATTTAAGAAAGCTCTACAATTTCTCTTACCTGACTCTGTAGGAGGCCTTCTAATATTTAGAGACTGAAAGAACTACTTAAAAAAACACACAATGAAAACAAACAAACAAAAAACAATGAGCCGGGCTGGGCATGGCTCAGTGGCTGAGCATCAACCTATGAACCAGGAGGTCACAGTTAGATTCAGGTCAGGGCATATGCCTGGGTTGCAGCTGGATCTCCAGGGTGGGGCGTGCAAGAGGCAGCCGATCATTGATTCTCTCTCATCATTGATGCTTCTATTTCTCTCTCCCTCTCCCTTCTTCTCTGAAATCAATAAAAATATATTTAAAAATAAATAAATAAAAACAATAATGAATTCTGAGATATAATCTACATACAGTAAACAGCACCCATTTCAGGTGAATGATCTATAATAATAAAAGCATAATATGCTAATTAGACCGGACAGCTGAACAACCTTCCGGATGTCATTCTGGACATCCGTCCTGACAAAGCCGCAGCAGCGGGGGTCGAGGCAGAGGCAGTTGGGGCAATTAGGCAGTCAGGCGGGCAGTTAGGGGCAAACAGGCAGGCAGGTGAGCGGTTAGGAGCATTAGGCAGGCATGCAGAGTGGTTAGGAGCAATCAGACAGGCAGGCAGGTGAGCAGTTAGGAGCCAGCAGTCCCGGATTGTGAGAGGGATGTCTGACTGCCGGTTTAGGCCTGATCCCACGTGCACTCGGGAGTGGGGGGATCCCTCAGCCCAGATTGTGAGAGAGCACAGGCCAGGCTGAGGGACCCCACCGGTGCACAATCGGGGCCAAGGAGGGACGTGGGAGGTTGGCCAGTCGGGGAGGGACCACAGGAGGGCTCCAGGGTGTCTGACGTGTCTCAATCAGTCCTGATCAGCCAGACCCCAATAGCAAGCTAACCTACTGGTCGGAGCGTCTGCCTCCTGGTGGTCAGTGCAGGTCATAGTGACTGGTCAACTGATCGACTGTCTTCCCCCGGTGGTCAGTGCACATTAATGCAAGCAGTTGAGCGGCCTTACCATATCATTAGCATATCATGCTTTGATGGGTTGAATGGCCGACCGGACGACCAGACACTTAGCATAGTAGGCTTTTCTAATACAGGATATTATAGTTTTTATGTTCTTGAAAATCATAAAAGATTGAATTATACTGTATGTTCTCATTTGTGTCTGCCTTCTTTTGCTAAGTAGTATTACATCACAGAGATATACCAAACTCTATTTATTTATAGTCATGTTGATAGACATTTGGACTGTTCCCAATCTTGGGCTGTTATGAATAAAACTAATATAACGTTCATGTTCAAGTCCACATGCTAACCTGACAAGCTCAGGGAAGGCCTGCATGGCGGTCATGCAAACTCAGAGACCTAAGGTAACCACAAAGGATGGTCTGAAAGTAACTTTAACTAAAAGCAGTCATGGTGGGTAGTTACGTCCTAGGCTGGTATCTTCACTGACAAGGTCAAACTTTACCTTAAATGAGCCCATCTGTCTTTTTGCATCTATGATAAGAAATCCTGGATATATCTGGATAACTTGTAACTTCCCTTTTTCCAGACCCCTTGGGGCACAACCTAATGTGTCTGTCTGGGCACCAGGGCAAATACCAGAAATTCCTTCACTGTATTGTTATCAGGTTAATTATTGACTGTTAAGTATCCTGCACCCACCTAAGTATGTACCTATCATTTTACTGTTTATCCAATCCCAGAGATCCCCCCCACCCCGCCTTTGTTTTCTCCCCCCTCTCTAATCACCAATGGATTTCATGTAACCCACCTACATCACCTCCTTTGATTGCAATGTATAAAAATAGATGAAAAACCGCCACTCTCTGGAGCATTATCCTAATCCATTGAGATACTGCTTCCTGACAATTGTTGACAGTTTGGCTCAAATAAACTCACAAAAATTCTTTACCAGTTTGAATGTTTTTACATTAACAAGTGTTTGGACATATGTTTTCATTTTTCTTGGGCAAATGCTCAATAGTGGAATTGCAGGATCAAATGGCTTAGTCTATGTTTAACTTTGTATGAAAGAGCCATACTAATTTCCAAAGTGGTTATACCATTTCACAACTCTAACAGCAATGTTAAAGAGATATAATGTTTCTAATTTTAGTCATTTTTCTTGTGTTTTTTAAAAAATATGTTTTTATTGATTTCAGAGAGGAAGGGAGAGGGAGAGATAGAAATATCAATAATGAGAGAGAATCATTGATTGGCTGCCTCCTGCACGCACACCCACTGGGGAGAGAGCCTGCAACTGGGGCATGTGCTCTCAACCAGAATTGAACCCGGGACCCTTCAGTCCCCAGACGTATGCTCAATTCACTGAGCCAAACCAGTCAGGGCTCTTGTTGTTTTTGTAATAGCATTTCTTTGTGGTTTTAATTTTCTTTTCCCTGATGACTAACAAATGATAACATTTGATGTGGTCATTCATCTATCTTCTTTTGTGAAGTGTCTGTTCAAATGTTTGACCTTTATTTTATTGGATTATTTGCCTTCTTAGCATCTATATATATATAAAAGCCCAGCAACTATTATGGCAGAACAACCAGAATGACCAGACCGACCGGTGGCTATGATGTGCTCTGTGGGAGCGAACCAGCCTGATCCAGGCTACGATTGGCTCCCCCAACCCCCAGCCGGCCTGGCCCCTGATCGCCCTCAACACCCCAATCAGGGGCAGGGCTGGCTGCCAACTGCCCATGGCACCTCCCCCTGGGCAGCCTCCACCCCGATCGGCCCCCAATACCCCTATATCACTACCTGGCTCCCTGGTGCATGTACATTTAGTACAAGCACAAGAAAATAATTATCAGTCCCTTCTGACCCTGACCATAGTCTCCAGAGGGCTCTGCTAATACTGCAGCCAAGATGTGGAATTCTCCCTCCATGGCCTGCAGCCCCAGGAGACCTTCCAAGTTAGCCAAAAGGGCCCTTTGCTGAGGAATGTAGAGAGGCTGGGTGGGGATTTTGTGAAATTGTAGTGCCTTGCAGATTAGGTGAGCTTTCAAACTTTCTTTAAATGGGGCAGCGAAGAAGACCTGTAGGCTGCCAGGAACAACAGTAAAGGGTAGGCACATTAAAAAACAGAAAACCTTTTAAACAAACAGATGAAGATCATATTGGGAAACTGAGAGTAGAACCTCAGGAAGAATGCAAAAATCATTAAAGGGCCAGGATCCATCTTGATATACGTTTGAAAACAACACATAAACAACTTCATCTCATGGCATGTGAAATGCAAAACAGTTCTGTTGTGGGTTTTCTTTTGGCCATCCTTAAAGTATAATTAGATCCAGCTGGAGGAAAGCTATAGCTTCCAGCATTAGACCCCCTGGCTGGCCCCGCCCCCGATCGGCCCCCATCAGGTTGGGGCAGACGGATTCCACCCATGCACAAATTCGAGTACTGGGCCTCTAGTTGTGTTATAAGAGTTCTTAAATATTCTGGATGTAAATCCTTTGTCAGATAATAGGAGCTGTAAATATTTTCTCTCAGTCTGTGGTTTGCCTTTACATTTCCTTAATGGTGTCTTTATCAGTATTTATCTTTTCTTAAAAAATATTTCTACTGATTTCAGAGAATAAGGGAGAGGGAGAGAGATAGAAACATCAATGAGAGAATAATAGATTGGCTGCCTCCTGCACACCCCACACTGGGGATTGAGCCCGCAAATCGGGGCATGTGCCCCCACAGGGAATCAAACCATGACCCCTGGTTCATAGGTCAATGCTCAACCACTGAGCTACACCAGTTGGGCTATCAGTTTTTATCTTTTATGACTCAGTGTTGTTATCATCTAAGACATCTTTGCCTATCTCAATGTCACAAAGCTTTTCTCCCGTTTCTTCTGGAAGATTTATAGTTTTATAGTTTTAGCCTTTACTTTTAAGACTATGCTCCATATCAAGTTAATTTTTTAATATAATGTGAAAAAAAAGCCAAAGTCCACTTTTTTCCCCATACTGGTACCTAGTTGTCCTAGATATCGGTGGTTGACAAGACTATTTTTCTTCCAATGAATTATCATAGTAACTTAGTTGAAAATCAACTTGCCACATATGTAATAGGTCTATTTCTGGGCTCTTTATTGTGACACATTGTTCTCTATGTCTACTCTTATGCCTACCTTAATTATTGTAGTTTTATAATAAATTTCAAAATCACTCAACATTGTACTTATCCAAAAAATGTTATTCCAGTCCCTTTGAATTTCCATATAAATTTAGAGTCAGCTTATCTAATTCTGTACAAGAGTCTAATAAAATTTTCATTGGCATTGCACTGAATTGTCATCATAACAATATTTTGCCTTCTAATAAACTCACATGGTAAACCTCCCATTTATTTAAGTATTCTTCAGTTTCTCTTAGGATTGCTTTGACATTTTCAATAAAATATTGAAATTATTAAATTTAGCCTAAGTATTTCATGTGTTCTGATGTTATTATAATCTAGTGACCCGGTACACAGATTTGTGAACACTGAAAGGAAATTAATTAGAAGGAATATGTTAATATCGCTATTCACCCTTTCTCTGTAATAGAAGTGTCAACCAAATTCATGATCGACAATGACAGATCGAAACACACGCATGCGATTGGTGCCAGCAAGAACTTTATATGTATCGCACATGCGCAAGTCAACTCAGCCTTTTATAAATATAGAATAAACTTGCTTAATTAGACCTGCCTTCTGATTTAGCTAAACTTTTTCCAGCCCAGTGAAGCACCCCAACTTCTCTTTCAGGTAATTGTCAGCAACACAGCAGTAAATATCAACACAAAACAGATTATTATTGTAGATCACACAAAGAGAACAAAGGGTAAAATATTTAACTTAGCAGTGTTTGACTATATTCTGCACAGTGAGAAAACCTGAAGTCATTTTTAAGTTCCACCATTTCTTACTTCTTTTCAGTCGGCTCAAGTTTCTAAACTTTCTAAATCTCTGTTGTCTTACTAATGAAAAGAAAATAGGATTCTACCAAGTCTACTATCTACCACTTCAGGACTTCTGTGAGTATCAAATGAGATGAGGCATGAGAAAATGCTTCACAGACATTTAATTAGAGTGTAAAATGTTTGCACATAGCTATAAAGAAAGAAGTGTTCCTGGGCTGAAGAAACTGCAGGGAGGCTAGTCAGTAGGGAGAGGAAGCCGGGTGTTGCTATGTGACGTCATTACCCAGCACCCACAGCAACCATCTCTGGGCTGGGCTGGGCTGTGGGCCACATTTTGTGCCATGGGGTCTCGGCAGCATTGGCAGCAATTTGGTGGGCTGTCGCCCTGGG